GATAGATAGATAGATAGATAGATAGATAGATAGATAGACAGATAGACAGACAGATAGATAAAGGCATGAACTCACAAGACAAAGAGTGGAAAAGACTGTGGCAGAAAAGATGAAAATAAGAACAAGGAAAGTGAGCACTAATTGTCTTAAAACAGAACTGAGCAAATCCAAGAAAGGCACAGCCTTGTGTCTGCCAAGGCAGAAAACCCAGACATAAACCAGCTAGCCTGCAGGGTCCCAGAGCTGCCTGGAGGCTCCCAGGAACAGAGGAGGCAGGGCTGAGGCCAGGGGCTCCCCAGGGAGGTTTGATTAGAAGTCTAAAGACTGGGCTCACGCCTGTATTCACAGCACTTTGGGAGGCCAAGGCAGGAGGATTGTTTGAGTCCAGGAATTCAAGACCAGCCTGGGCAACACAGCAAGAACCTGTCTCTACCAAAAAATTAAAAAATTAGCCAGGCATGGTGGCCCACACCTGTAGTTCCAGCTACTGGGGAGGCTGAAGCAAAAGGATTGCCTGAGCCCAGGAGGTCAAGGTAGCAATGATTGTGCCACTGCACTCTAGCCTGGGCCACAGAGTGAGACTCTACTCAGAAAAAAAAAAGTCTTAAGACCCCTGCACACGTTCCCTCCTGTTAGCTATGGCCCCTTACAGCATGGGGCTGGACTTGAGGTAACCTCGGGCCTCTCCAGTCAGGGAAGGCTCTACAGAGGAAGATAGGAACAGAGACTTCAAGGATGGGCCAGGGGACAAAGGGGGAGAGGGAAGGAGGGAAGGTGCAGGCGATGGAGGAGGAGGAGCAGAACTTGCATCTCTGGCCCTTCCTGTCTGTCTACACTTCCGTGACTACACAATGTGACTTCCCAGTTGGAGTCACACTGGCGGAGCGAGAAAGCCTAATGAGAGGTTCCAAGCACACAGGGCAGGTCTCACCCCCATTTTCCTGTTCACCACACGGTCTTACTTACCTCGCAAGTTTGCTGAGGCCAAGGAGTTGCTTGTTAGGAAGGTAACCGATATGGACCTTTGGAGGAGAGACAGAAATATGAGCTAAGTGAGAATACAGCACTTCTTCATGCTAAAGAAAAAAAAAGGATATCGGAAGACTATCAACTATCAACTGACATGTCATTGATCAAAATGACAGTGTATTATCTTTAAAACATCTGGAAGCTTTAAGAGTTAGAAAATAAAATACTTATAAAAGTTTGCGGTTTTTTTGAGTTGGAGTCTCACTCTGTCGCCCAGACTGAAGTGCAGTGGCCGCTCCCGGCCACCGCAGCCTTGACCTGCTAGGCTCCAGCAATCCTTCCGCCTCAGCTTTCCGAGTAGCTGGAACTACAGTCACAGTACCACGCCCGGCTAATTTTTTGATTTATTGTAGAGATGAGGTTTCGCCAAGTTGCTCAGGTGGGTCTCGACCCCGCAGGCTCAGGCAATCCACTCACTTCAGCCTCCCAAAACACGGGATTACAGGTTGAGCCACCGATCCCAGCTTATAAAAGTATTTTTAAATTACATAAACACAGTGAAATATATAAAATGAGTCTACAGTCAGATGCAGTGGCTCATGCCTATAATCCTAGCACCTTGGGAGGCTGAGACAGAAAGATCCCTTGAGCCCAGGAGTTCGAGACCAGCTTAGGCAACATAGTGAGACTTTTTCCTCTACCAAAAAAAAAACACCCAAAATTAATTGGGCATGGTAGCATATGCCTGTAGTCCCAGCTAGTGGAGAGGCCAACTCAGGAGGATCACTTGAGCCCAAGAGTTCGAGACCAACTTGGGCAACATAGTGAGAATTCTTTCTCTGCAAAAAATTTAAAAAATAAAAAAATTAACTGGGCGTGGTAGCACATGCCCGTAGTGCCAGTTTGTGGAGAGGTTGAGGCTGAAGAATCACTAGAGCCCAGGATTTCAATGCCATGGTGAGCCATAACTGTGCCGCTGTACTCCAACCTGGGCAACACAGTGAGACCCCAACTCAAGGAAAAAAAATTTCTCATGGTACTCAGGTCTTCTGTACCAGTTGAAATTGTTATACTTACATGCAGAGCCAGAATCTGTTTACTGTGTATACTTCTTTTGGTCTTCCTTAAAATCTTAAGTACTTAACTACCTGTTTTAGAAAATCATCACTAAATAATATGCTTTAAAGACAAAGTTAGCAAGGATACAAACACTGAGTTAATCATAGCAGAAAGTAACAGAATAAATGGTGAGAGGCTGAGCACAAGATCAAAGCCTTGGGTGTGGCCCAGTCAGGCGATAAACTCTCTGTCCTCTTGGCCGAGTCATGGACTTTCTGGATCTAACTTTCTCACCTACAAAAAAAGGCGGAGGCTGGTTTTGGTGACTCAGCCTATAATCCCAGCACCTTGGGAGGCTGAGGCGAGTGGATTGCCTTAGCCCGCAGGTTCGAGACCCACCTGGGAAACTTGGCAAGATCTCGTCCCTACAATAAATCAAAAATGATATAATCCCACATCTTGGGAGGCTGAGGTGAGTGGATTGCCTGAGCCTGCAGGTTCAAGACCCGCCTGGGCAGAGAGACCTCATCTCTACAATAAACCAAAAAATTAGCCGGGTGTGGTAGCACGCGCCTGTAGTTCCAGCTACTCGGAAGGCTGAGGCGGAAGGATCGCCGGAGTCCAGCAGGTTCGAGGCTGCGGTGGCTGGGAGTGGCCATTGCACTCCAGTCTGGGCAACAGAGTGAGACTCCAGCTCAAAAAAAAAAAAAAAAAAAAAAAAAAAAGGCGGAGAAGATCGCAAAGGTTCCCTCGCTGTTAGCTGCAGAGTTGCCAGACACTGCCTGCCTCCTGACGTGATGCGCTGTGAAGTCCTCAGCGATTCCAGGAACTACTCCTGTCAGAAACATTTAGCCTTAACCTTATGAAGTTTAGATCTAATCCAACTTCTAGGATATCCGAAGGTTGGAGAGAACCAATCCAGCAGGTAGGACATTCCACAGAACAACCGGCCTCATCACCTCAATAAGAACAGTTTACTTTAGAATATTTTATACTTAAAGATTCTTAAGAGCCATAGCCAAATGCAACACAAATACAAATGATGACTCTTAATTGAATTCTTGTGGACATTTGAGACAGCTGAAAAAATTTAAATATGAGCTAGTTCTTCGTTATTTAGGAATTACTATTAATTTTGTTTGTGTTAGTGCTATTGTGGATGAGTAAAAAAATATATTTTTAAATTTTTGTTTATGTATTTTTTGATTTGGGGTCTAACTCACAGTATGAAGGGCTCACCACAGCCTCAACCTCCTGGGCTCAGTCAATTCTTCTGCCTCAGCCTCCCAAGTAGCTGGGACTACAGGCACATGCCACCACATCTGGGTAATTTTTTTATGTTTTTTAGAGACGAGATTGCCTAGGCCGGTCTTGAACTCTGTTAGGCTCAAGCAATCCTTCTGCCTTGGCTTCCCAAAGCCTAGGATTACAGGTGTGAGCCATTGTGTCTGACCATAAAATATCTTAGAGGTGAATATGAGTTGCTACACATGGGCATGCCCTATGACATTGCTATGATCCAGCAATTCCACTCCCAAGCACATTCCTAATAGAAATATATGCATGTGTGCACCAAAAAAATGCTGATAGCAGTATTGTTTGTAATTTTTTTAAAAAGCGACAACACAAATATCCACCAAGAGCAGAATAAATAAGTAAACTTTGGTGTTTTTGTACAATGGAATTATATATAACAATGAAAATAAACAAACTGAAATGATAAGCCATGCTACCCATGAACCTTACAATGTGGAACAGAAGAAGCCAGACAGAAAAGGGTACAAACTGCAGGCTCTTTCCACCTCTATATAGCTTACAAACAAAACTAGTCTGTTGTGTTGTAAATTGATGTCTGGTTAGCTGTGGGAACAAGGAATGGCTAGGGCTTGAGAAGCAACACAAGCTGAGCTTCCAGGATGCTAATCATATTCTAGTTCTTGATTTGTGAGGCGGTGAGGAACACCCTTAAATTCTGTGCATTTGTCTCTATTTTACTTCTATTAAAAAGTGAAAAAAGGCCGGGCTCGGTGGCTCAGTCTGTAAGCCTAGCACTTTGGGAAGCCAAAGCGAGTGGATTGCCTGAGCCCGCAGGTTCGAGACCAGCCCCAGCAACTTGGCAAGACCTCATCTCTACAATAAATCAAAAAATTAGCCGGGCATGATAGCACGCGCCTGTAGTTCCAGCTACTTGGAAGGCTGAGACAGAAGGATCACCGGAGCCCAGCAGGTCGAGGGGTGGCTGTGAGTATGCCACTGCACTCCAGCCTGGGCGATGGAATGAGACTCCAATTAAAAAAAAAAGTGAAAAAAAAAAAAGAATAACCAAAAAACGAAGCAAATGCTAACACATTAAATTTAGTTGGTGGGCATATAAGTATTCATAACACTATTACCTATAGGTCTTCTGTTTAAAAATTATTGATAAAAAGTCAAAATAAAATTATGATGGGGGTTGGGAGGCCAGGACAACTCCTTGTCCTAAACCTATTTGTTCTCAAAGGTATGTTTAACAGTGATTCCTAAATAGCTTCTAATAACTAACTCCTATTTAAGTTTTCCCAGTCATCTCAAATGTTTTATTTGTGGTTTGCTTAAACAAGAATCCAATTAAAAGCCGCACATTTGTATTTACATTGCATTTGGTTATGACTCTTAAGCATCTCATATTCTAAAGTACTGCCTCCCCCTCATAATGCTCTTATATTGAAGCATCTAGGTTGGTTGTTCTGTGGAATGTCCCACCTTCTGGATTTGTTCACTCCAACCTCTGGATGTCCTATAAGCTAGATAAGACCTAAAGCTTCATAGCTAAAGTTAAACATTTCTGACAAAAATAGTTCATAAGCCTGCTAAGAAATCCAATGCATCCAGTTCATTTGTCCTCAGATAGCAAAGTTTGGAAAAAAATCTACTAATACCGTAACCTCCATCACAAGAAATTCTGTAATCACTACTGCTCATGTCATGCCATCTGTACACATATCTTGGACTAGACATTATTCTTGTCAAAATAAAGGGCAACTCTAGATTGGGATGCCAAAAATAATAATAACAAAATATGTGAAGGGCAAAGGTTTTCAGAGCCTGCAGCAGCTACCTTTAAAAAAAAAAAAGATGCTATTTTAACCTCATTTTGTTAACCTATTAACATGGTATTTAACATAAAAGCCTTGCCCTGAGGGTTCGGCTACTTTTTGTTTTTTTTAATTTCAAGTGATTAGAAGAGTCAGGTTGATAAAAAGTAATCATGTATGTGCAATTGTAAATATATAGGATATCAGGAATTAGCAGCTAAATGTTTTAAACATGATTATTCTAATGGAAAAACTTTCATTATGCTCTTTTACACTGTTGGGAAACAAAAAAGAACCCCCTCCTTTGGGAGGCTGAGGTGAGTGGATTGCCTGAGCCCGCTGGTTCGAGACCTGCCTGGGCAGCGAGACCTCATCTCTACAATAAGTCAAAAAATCAGCCGGGCGTGGTAGCGCATGCATGTAATTCCGGCTACTCGGAAGGCTGAGGCGGAAGGATCGTCGAAGCCCAGCAGGCGAGGCAGCAGTGGCCAGGAGCGGCCACTGCACTCCAGTCTGGGTGACAGAGTGAGATTCCAACTCAAAAAAAAAGAAAGAAAGAAAGAAAGAAAGAAAACCTTACCTTTCCAACAAATGGAACCAGGTGGTGTTCACACATGGAAAACATGTCTATATCCTTCACAATCACCATCTCGTCATGGTCTTCATCAAATATAGCATCATTCAGGACATCTGAAATCAGAGACTTGCTTTAGTGACATCTCCAGGTTTTTTGGAGTGTTTTTTTGTTTTTGTTTTTTGTGAGTTGGAGTCTCACTCTGTCGCCCAGACTAGAGTGCAGTGACACATTCCCGGCCACCACTGCCTTGACCTGCTGGGCCCCAGTGATCTCTCTGCCTCAGCCGTCCAAGTAGCTGGACCTACAGGCATGCGCTACCATGCCCGGCTAATTTTTTGATTTATTGTAGAGATGAGGTCTCGCCAAGTTGTCCAGGCGGGTCTCAAACCCATGGGCTCAGGCAATCCACTCAACTCAGCCTCCCAAAGCATGGGATTACAGACTGAGCCACCGAGCCCGGCTAACATGTCCAGTTTTATAGAAAGATACAAGAGTAGAAAAGTCACTATGGGAAAATACAAATAGACAGTTAACATAAAAAGGAATGTTAAACCTCCCTAAAATATTATGGGAATACAAATTAAAACTAGGCAGTTTTCCCTGTCAAAGTAGCAAAGTATTTTTCTTTAAATGATATTTTTAAAATCCTTTGAAAGGTACTTATAGAAACCTAGAAGAAACTTAGCTTATTCTTTAGTCTTTTTGCCTCAGCATAACCATTAGAAAGCATTCAAACATTCTACTGCAGGACAAACAGCAGCCTGTCCCATCCCCCCTAGGCAAATCTTCAGATGCAAGACCAGAACAGCCCATTCATGGTTTAGCATAATAATCTCTAGTAAACTTTTGATTCCTTGTCAAGGCTAAAGTCATAAAAGTAATAATACGACCACCCCACCTTTGGTCAAGGAATTTGTGAGTTGCAAACGTCTGAGTTTGTGAATTACAAATGTCTAACAAGTCTATTGCGGGTATCCCCCCCTCCCCCATTAACCTAATCAGCCCTTTGTGACTCACCTTGGCAGCAATCATGTGACTGGCCCACCCATCTGCCTGCTGTCCATCACCTGACATCATCAGTACCTGCACTTGTCTGCCCTTTTGTGATGACACAGAAGCAGACCACCACCCAATCATCTTATTGATCTTCCCCCATCCAGGGGAATAGTCAAAAGGGCTCAACCACAAGCAGCCAGCGGCCATTGCCTTGTTAGACTCTGGTGTCACCATGTGCTCTTTGAGCTATGGCTGTCGCAATGCTTCCTGGCTTTGGTCCTCCTCCCCCACCTTGGGGAGGTGAATCATCTTTCTTCCTTTTCTTTCTCTCTCTAACTTACTTTTAAATAAACTTTTCTTTCTTAACCTCTTTGTGTATTGCAATTCTTTGCATTTACTCGGATCTCTGGGTTCCCAGCGTGGCACCTCCGGCTTGCTGGCCCCAGCGGTGCTGCGCCCCTTGCTGCCTCCATTTTCCCTCATCCTGTCCAGTACCCTAACATCCTTGATATGATGTTACATGACAAATGCAAGATTACAGAAATATTTGCAGTATGAGAGAGAAGGAGGAGGAAGGAAGGGAGAGATTATGCCAAAATAAAACAGTGGCTATTTCTGGTGGTGGAAATGGGTCACTTTCACTTTCTCCCTTTCATTTTCTTATACTTAATGTTTTCTCTATAATAGCTGTGTAGAAAACCAGATCCAAAAAAAAAGGCTAATCCTTAACCTTCTGACTTCTGAGTCCAGATCCAGATGCCTATGAACTTAAGCTCTATCATCAATTCCCTAAATTATTTCCTACATTTATAAAGTTTTCCAGTTATTGAAGGCAAGCATCAGACTTATTCTAAACAGTCGCCACCTTCCTGAGGAAATAAGTCTTCTGGTTTGTATGTGCATATCTTTCTAGGTAGGCTTTAGATGATGAGCAGTGTCTTGCTTAGTCCATGGGCCCTGGGATATATGACAGGGTCCTCATAGACATTTAAAAGCAAAAAACTTTATTTTCAAAAATTGCACTCATGGCTGGGTACAGTGGCTCATGCTTGTAATCCCAGCATTTTGGAAGGCCGAAGTGAGAGGATAGCTTGAGCCCAGACGTTTGAATCCAGCCTGGGCAACATAACAAGACCTCATCTCTATAATAATTAAACAATTAACTGGGCATGGTGGAATGTGCCTGTAGTCCTAGCTACCTGGGAGGCTGAGGTGGAAGGGTCGCTTGAACCCACAAGGTCGAGGCTGTGGTCATGTCACTGCACACCACCAGCCTGAGTGACAGAGTGAGACCCTGACTCAAAAAAAAATTGCACTAGCCGGGCTCGGTGGCTCAGCCTGTAATCCCGTGCCTTTGGGAGGCTGAGGTGAGTGGATTGCCTGAGCCCGCGGGTTCAAGACCCGCCTGGGCAGTGAGACCTCATCTCTACAGTAAATCAAAAAATCAGCCGGGTGTGGTAGTGCATGCCTGTAATTCCAGAATAGAAGGCTGAGGCGGAAGGATCACCGGAGCCCAGCAGGCGAGGCTGTGGTGGCCGGGAGCGGCCACTGCACTCCAGTCTGGGCGACCGAGTGAGACTCCAACTCAAAAAAAAAAAAAAATTGCACTAACTTAACCTCAACTATCCCATCTGCAAATTGGAAGGTTAGATAGCTGATTCCTAAGAAAGCTTCCCACTCCCTCATACTCTGACTGGAAAAGCATCTTGTCCTGGACGCTGGAGAGTGACAGAAGGAACAAGGTGCAACTCCAACCCCAAACACGGTCCTGGAGCCGATGACAGGCAGGTGCCCAAACAAGGCTGTCGGCAGAGGCCTCAAGACGTGGAAAATGCTTCAGCTCTATTTCTAAAGAAGAAAAGAAGCTACAAAGTACAACATGGTTTCATTTTTTGTAAAATAAATATACATGTAGAAAAACTGCACCAAAATCATGACAGCTGGGCAGACTAGATTCGTCAAAACACTGAGCTGTGATTTCAAGGACTCGAGGGAAACCCAATATACATCGGATGACTGGAAAAAATCCGAGGAGGTGATCAGAGCTTTGCAGCCACCGAAGCTGGTTGCTCAGTGGGTCACGGAAGATGCACAAATGTCCACCCACACCGCCTGACCTCCAGTGGCTCTGTTGCTACTAGAACAGGGACTTCCAGAGATCGTGTCATCATGTAGACTGCAGTTCTCATCCCCCAAGTCAGGCTCATCAGAGACACACTGGAAAAAATCTACTAATACCATAACCTCTGTCACAAGAAGTTCTGTAATCACTACTGCTAAAAGTCATTTTAGTGTAGTTAACAAAAGAAAACATGGGCGGTTTCAACACATACCCCTGTTAGAAATGGCCAATAAAATCCTGGAAAGAAAAGGTTCCACCCCATTCATCAAGTAAGTATTCCTTCTCCAAAAGCACTTTTCTATTCTGAGCATTCTGCCCAGCCTTCAGTGATATTTCTGAAAGAAGTTCAAAAATAGATCCTTACTGTTTCCAAAAGTATCCTAGATTTATCCAAGATTTTAATATAATATCATTCCATATAGCTTACTCAAATCTTTAGCAACATAAGAAATATTTCTAAAAGTAAAAAAATACAAACAGAAGCACTCCTTAAAGAACAAGACAGCTGGGCATGGTGGCTCACGCCTGTCATCCTAGCACTTTGGAGGCAGAGGCAAGAAGACTGCCTGAACCTAGGTGTTTGAGACAAGCCTGGGCAACTTGGCAAGACCTCATCTCTACAATAAAGCAAAAAATTAGCCAGGCATGGTGCTGCGTGCCTGTGGTTCCTACTACTTGGTAAGTTGAGGCAGGAGGACAACCTGAGCCCAGCAGGTCAAAGCTGCAGTAGCCGTGAGTGTGCCACTACACTCCAGCCTGGGCTACAGAGAGGCTCTGATGCAATTAACAACAACAAAAAAAAACAAGACAGAATTATCAAAAGAAGGAAACATTTGTTTTCTCTGGAAAAAAAATGAGGGCCGGGCTCAGAGGCTCAGCCTGTAATCCCAGCACTTTGGGAAGCCAAGGCAAGTGGATCACCTGAGTCCACCAGTTTGAGACTAGCCCGGGAACCTTGGTGAGACCTCGTCTCTACAATAAATAAAAAAATTAGCCAGGTGTAGTAGCATGCACCTGTAGTTCCAGCTACTTGGAAGGGTGAAGTGGAAGTTATCGCCAGAGCCCAGCAGGTCCACGCTGGGGTAGCCGTGAGCATGCCACAGCACCCCAGTCTGGGCGACAGAGTGAGACTTCAACTCAAAAAAAAAAAAAAAAAAGAATGAGAGCGTCCTCATTCTCAGCTCTGATGACTACATGGCACATGTGAAGTCAGCCCTTGAGTCAGGTGAAATTAAGATCTGGCTTTTTCACCCCCTAGCCATTGGACCTTGGGCATAGCACTCTGGGCCTCAGTCTTCTCAGCTGTAAAATGAGCATAAATAAAGTGCTACCTCACAGGGTATCACGATTAAGCAAGCACATGTGCTTAGAACTACATAGGTGGAGTAAGCGATAGCTATTGTTGTTACTATTATTATTATAATTAAGATTGAGGGAGTTGCTAAACTATGTATTCCATGTCAAAGGTACATGACAATTTAAAAAGCAGTAATCTGCCGGGCTCAGTGGCTCAGCCTGTAATCCCGTGCCTTTGGGAGGCTGAGGTGAGTGGATTGCCTGAGCCCATGGCTTCGAGACTCGCCTGGGCAACTTGGCGAGATCTCATCTCTACAATAAATCAAAAATCAGCCGGGCGTGGTAGCGCGCGCCTGTAGTTCCAGCTACTTGAAAGGCTGAGGCGGAAGGATCACCGGAGCCCAGCAGGTCGAGGCTGCGGTGGCTGGGAGCGACCACTGCACTCCAGTCTGGGCGACAGAGTGAGACTCCAACTCAAAAAAATAAAATAAAATAAAATAAAAATAAAAATAAAAAGCAGTAATTTGCTTGCAACAGAGTACAGAAAAGCAAAAAAAATAACTTGACAGTGGAGAGGCCAGGTGTGGTGGCTCACACCTGTAATCCTAGCACATTGGGGGGCGTGGAGCTGGGAGGATTGCTTGAGCTCAGTAGTTCAAAACCAGCCTAGGCAACATAGTGAGACCTCATCTCTACAAA